TCACCACCACATGAGGAACTGTATGAAAGGGTCGAGGCATGAGGAAGGTTGAGAACCACTGCTGTAGGAGATCCAGGGGTTCCCAGTGACCTTGACAGTGGCAAGGGGCAAACCTTTCCACCCTCATCACAGCTCCCTGTCCATCAAATTTTCCCTCAGAGCACGTTTATGTGAAGGGTTATTTGTTTGATGTTTGTCGCCTTGCTCTTGCTCCATCCTCTTGTTGCTATGGTGGCGTCTGCTGTTGCCGCCACTGTGTCAACCCATCTCTTTGAGGGTCTTCCCCCTTTTCATCGACCCTCTGACTTTGCCCAGCATGATGGTCTTTTCCAGGGAAGGTTTCTTCTGATAACACACCCAAAGTCCTCCTCACGAAGTCTTTCCATCCTCACTTCTAAGAAGCACCCTGGATGTACTTTTTCTAAGATCGTCCACAGTATTTGAATATTCTTTGCCAACACCATCACTCAAACACACTAATTCTTTTGAATCATCCTTAGCCATTGTCCGCTTTTTACTTGTATATAAGACGATTGAAAATGTCAGGACACGGGCCAGCTGTGTCTTATCTCAAAGTGACATCCTTGCTCTTCAACACGTGAAGGAATTCTTGCACCGCAGATTTGTCTCATGTACTACATCATTTGGTTTCTTGACTTCTGCTTCCTGAAGCATTGACTGTGAATACAACTAAAATTAAAGCCGTTACATCAATGCTCCATTTATTATGAGATGATCTCTTGGCCCAGTTGTGAGGATTTTGCTTTTCATTCCGTTGAGTTGCAATCCATACTAAAGGCTAAAGCCTTTGCTTTTTATCACTAAGTGCTTCAAGTTCTCTTTACTTTCTGCAAGCAAGGCTGTAGAATCTTCAATGTCTTTATCTTTGGCTTAGTTGGTTGATGTGTAATCGTTGTAGTACCTGCTCTTCTTTGCAGACATGCAGGTCGTATCCTATCACTGACAGCATTGTACTTCAGGATAATTCTTGAAAGTTCTTTTGAATAATGAGTGCAACCACATTCCTCTTAAATTCATCTTTCCCAATATTGTAAGCCATATGGTTGTCTGATTCAAAATGACCAATAGCAGTCCATTTCAGCTTACTAATGCCTAAAGTGTCACTCTTAATGTATTCTATTTCATTTCTGGTGACTTCAAAATTTCCTAGATTCCTGCTTCGTACATTCCACATTCTGATGAGTAAGGAATACTTGCAGCTGTTTCTCCTCATTTTGACTCATACTACATCAGCAAATGAAGGTTCTCGGGCTTTATTCCATTAAGGTCGTTAAGACTGACGACTTTGAGGAGACAGCTCTTCCACGTGTTTATTAAATGACTGAAGTAACAAGGGATGGCTTATGACTCTTATCTGGCCCGTCTCCTCCTCTGTCGTTCTCCCACAGAGTGGGAAATTGTGAAACGAAGCGCATACTCTTCCACCTGGCCAGAAATTATAATGGAGAATTTTACCTCTGTGCTTCAAATGCTAAGCCATAGTCTGGGAAAAACGACCCATGTCTTGAAGGTTCCCTTCTCACCCAGTCCTTACTTAATCCAGGAGCTTCTTTTATAATCTCGGCTCAGTGAGTGTAACTGAGTGGGTCTAGGGGGGGGACGAATGCCTAGATTACACTGCTTTGGTCTATATGGCTCCCTCTTTTCCATCTGACTCCCTTCTAGATGACTGGACATTCCCTTCTGAATTTTACTCCTCCTGGGGACAATGTACTATGAACAGAAGGT